TAGTTTATTGAACCACAGATATTTGGTAACCCCCATTGGAAGGTATAGCTCCTACTTTGTGACCCAAAAGTAAGCGTAAATATAAAATTGTTCATATTTGACCCTAAAAAATGGATAACAAATTAAAAGATACTCCCCACTTCACAGATTATTTTTACAACAGACTTTTTTGAGAGCAATAGATTGAAAAAATTGTGCTCTAGCTGGTCACTAGCTCCTGTTTGAATCTCACTGAATCTCGCATAAAAGTCAAAATCGATCTCCTTGACAAAAATTAGGATAGTCTCGTATCTTCCTTTCGCACAGTTTTCATCTCAGGTGACTATACAGAAGTCAGCAACTCTGTAGAGAAAATATATAGCGAATGCACTGATAGCCACCTTAACTGCAAAGCTGAAATGCTAGAAGCGTTGGAACTTATGAGGGCTAATCCCACCACTCAGCGAAGTCACAACTCTACCCAGAACGTTACAAACCCTTCATACACCCATGAAGTCTCCAGGGTGCCTCCGATCACAATTCCGTTTAACTCCAAACATAGTGAACAGAGGCGTAAATTACAGTCCACTGCCCAGATATCAATCCCCAAAGACATCACTCAATACCCAATACCCCTCACCACATCAGACATTATTGAGTTCTCCAAACATTCCACCCCACAAGTGTCCGCCTCCAAGGACAAAACAAATAAATCGCTCTCTTCATGTTCTACTTCATCGAACACACTTAATGGAGGAGCGAAAACATCAATGGGAAAATGAAAAATAAATCTCCCAACTATGCCACCCCTCAAATGTCCGCCCCAAGGACAAAACAAATAATTCGCTCTTTTCATGTTCTACCCCGCAGAGCACTCGTAATGAAGAAGCCAAAAAAACTTGTATGGCCACCCAGGTCAAAGATACCCCCCATGATTCCTTAAAATCAGCCATCAGCCAATCGCGTGCTATTCCAGTTGATGAACAACTCGTCCCGGGAGGGTGGCTATCGCCAATGAACTTGTTGCCAAAAACTTCACCGCGAAAATACCGACTAGAAGTAACAGATGGGTACGAAAACTCTAAGCCCAGTAACTTTCGGAAACCATCTAACCCAAATAGCTCGGCAAGAAAGGCCACACATACATCACACTTACAACAAAATGATGCATGTTCCTTGCGAGCAAACGGTAAACTCACTCTAGCCACTCTTGAAAATAATCAACATTCACCTATCCAAAACCAAACACAAAAATACACATTCGTTCCGGCACAAAATCCTCAAATAAAAGTAGGCATGAAGCCACCCGATGAAAGTTTATCCAAAAATCTACCTGCCCCCAATAAACAGAAGGACGTAACCATTCTAACACCCCCATGGCCCACCGCATCGGTTTGGTGGTGGCTGATTGCATTCGACGAAAGATCGTTCGAAATTAAAAAGCCGCCTGGTAAAATTAAGTTCTCGAAACTTCTAGTGGATTATATCATGGAAAACATCCATCCATTACAACATCAGCCCCCTTTTCTGCCCCTTCACATGACTTATAAATTTGCAATAGATTTCAATTTTGCATTGAACACGTCATACATATCTCAGAGTAGTAGTCAACCATTAGCATCTGCAATGCCTCGTAGCGGTCATGACTCACCGGCATTGATACTAGCAAGGATTCCAAATCGTTTTCTACCTCAACATGATTATCAAAGGTTAATACCAGACGAACGTTTTACATACCTAAACGAGTGTGGCATGCCATTTGATCCTGGCCGCGCAAAGCATAGGGTACCAGGTTACGGTCATCACGAGGTGGACTACTCAACCACAGTAATTTTGCACAAATCTCCTCTACTTTCGATATATCTTCAAAGGATTCGCGTAGGACCTGCATACCTGAATATTACTCCCTTTGCTGCCTCATCACTTACAAAGCAGCATCAATTATCGTCTCTTATTAATAGGACTGCACCAGCATTGAACTTCGAGATGGTAACGTGAGAAAACAGCGCTATAACTCCTTATCATTGACATATTTTTGACAATATACAGCATCGCGGACATCCACTACCCATTTGTGATGTGCATAGTAAACGGAAAAACCCCGGTTCCGTCCAAGAATGATAGAATACAAGATTGCGCCGTCCTGGGCGTTGACATTTGTGTACCACAAGTAAACAAAGAATAGAGCGAAAAGAAGAACGAGTTGAAACTGCCAAAGCGGTTCACTTTACTGCGAAAACCGTGTTTTAATTTTGCTGAATGCGAAAATATTGCATTTTTCTCCTAATCTATTAGAGAACAGTGAACATTTTAGTGCACTCCATTGCTTTGCAATTGAGCCTGCTTCACCAAACGTTTTAGTGCACTTTATTGCTTTGCAATTAAGGTTGCTGCAGAAAACTGCAGCAGCATCTCTGCGGGATTTATTAGTTAACTTGATAATGGAGGCTGCGTGGAGCAAAAACAAAATCATTGTGAGGAAATGCTGTTAATATAATAATAGAGAAACATTTCGGTAGCGGCTTTGCCGTGCCCTATGTACACAAAATGCAGCGATTCGTCCCAGCGCTACACTTGCATCTACGCTTCTTGCATCTTGGCGGCTGTCACACTTTAACACACAGCACTTCATTGTATTAGTTTTTACGCAGTCTTTAACTCAAAAATCGTTAACAAATTGCAAATTAACACAATATAAACTGATTTTCACTTATAATTCAAATTTCTCTTTTGCTGATTTGTAAACAAAGGTTTATTTACAAGTTACCACAACAGTCAAAATCGGCAAAACCAAAGTAGCGGTACCACTGACGGCGCCACCTTTGCTCGCTGCACCGTGGGTTCCGTCAGTGTAAANCACCACGGACATCCACTACCCATTTGTGATGTGCATAGTAAACTGAAAAACCCCGGTTCCGTCAGTGTAAAGAACTCCAGTTCCGCATCAATGAGCAAACACAAATAAACTCAACAGTGCACGAATTAGCAAACTTTTCTTCCATCTCAAAGAAACGCTTTGCTATATGTACCTGCCAACGACACACTCTCACTCTGGATCTGGCGCTCCCACTGCGATACTTTCAGGCCCTCTTTTTGTCCCAATACAACACTAATCAACTAACTCCAGTATTAACACTTCTCCCCCATAAATACTTAGTGAATACTAAAATCTTTTTTAGTTTTCATTCATTTAATTGCAGATCGTTATNCTGACTGCTTGCATTAGAGAGCATTTTGAGTGGGAATGCCTGCAGTAATTTGCTCAAATTTTTTTTTACAGACAGAAGAGAGTAATTATAACTATAAAATGCAAAAAAAACAGTTTTGAAAAAATTGTCGTTTACAACCTTATTCGCGAACATGCTTCAATTGATAAAGGATCGTAGCGAAAATCCATTGCCTTGCATGCATTTGAGAAGTGGTAGGTCGTACATATATATTTTCTGTCCTTTTTATGGGTAGGAAATCTAATGATGCACTTCAACGTGTGTTATTTTAGACATTATCCAGTAAAAGCTATATGTAACCATTTTGCTGGAATTTTTACTGGCTGGCGGTTTCTTGCAAAACTTGCAAGAAAGTAGCATAGTAGGGGAAATTGAGAGAGCGAAAATGATAGGTAAACGTGCAAGTTTTACTGGATTGTTACTGAATAAATTTTTACTAGTAGATATTTGCTAGTAAGAAATACAGCTGATGGCATGATACTGGGTGTAATTCACACTAATAAAGGAATTGTTTGTGGGGCTGTTATAGTTCAAATTTACAAAAAAAAAAATTAAGTGCGCCTGGGGCACACAGGAGAAGTGAAACTTACGTTACATATCTAGCTTACATCTATGTTTTTATCTTTTATATCCTTTCTTGCTTTTATCCTTTTCTTCATCTACATATTCTCCTAGTTGGTGTGACGTGCGATGACGTGATGAGATGCCATGTGATATAATGTGGAGTGACGTGATAGGATGGCATGTCATGCCAAATGATGTCAGCATGTGTGTCGATAGTAACATCGATAAAAATATCGATAACGAAACACATAAAGTTATCGATAACAAATTCGATAAGAATGTAGATAGAAATATCGATAGCAACATCGATAACCAAATCGATAAAAATTCGAAATCAATTTCAATAAAAAAATCGATAACAAAATAAATAAAGATATCTATAACAAAATATATTAAAATATTATGGGGCTTTGAAAGATATGAGCAAGTGGAAAAGCTTCTACGTTTTTTTCATAAAAAACTTATTTTTCTCCCACCTAACATGCCGAACTATATGCTGCACCTTGAAACGGGTATCTTTTTATACATGCTTTTTATAGTCAGATGTCTGAACCAGTGTGACCGCGGGCTTGTGAAAAATTGTAAAATGTATCAATATGTATCACCTTTTTTTTCATTTAAGTACCAAAGCATCAATATGGAATAAAACCAATAATTTTATGAAAAACCATTTTCCAAAACAATTTAACATTTATTGCACGAGCAAGCTGAAATTATTTACCGAATGCGATTTGCGCAATTTCAGTTGCAGTTACACCTTGCAATTTTTATTGCCTACCAACTTTTGCGTGTGGGCACTTTGATGTCTAGATATGTATAAGCATTTGCCGCATGACGCTGCCAGACAACATTCTCTCAATTTCGTTGTTAAAAAACATTTAAATCTTAAACAAACTTACTGAATAGCTTCCTAAAACGTTGTCATAAATAATCCAATAGGGAACAGAGTCTTATTTTGATTTAATATTAATATTTCATCTATATAACCACCAGCATGATTTCTATCAAGTGAAAATATGGCTGTCAAACTATCAAATTGCCTGCAATAGATGTCAAGCAATAAGGCGGTATCCATTGGAAATATATTTTGTGACATGGTTATCACGACATTGGTGTTTTCCTGTGGAAACAGGGCCTTACCGAGCACCGAGTTACCGAGTACCAAGCCCTAATTTCTGTTATTGAACATAGCTAAAATAAAAAATGCAGCGCTATGATACTGTTCGTTTGTTCACATTTTGACGTTTTTCGACATGGATCATGAATCACAATACACGAAAGGTTCGTTCAGAGAACGACAATGAACTTTTGGATGTACGTTGCCACAGGTGCACGACATGTTTTGTAATGCATAAAAATTTACAGATTTTTTTCATTTGTATTTGGAAAAGTATCAAAATTTAAAAAAAGTATCTCTCCAAAATTCATCGAAAAATGTATCAGTTTTGATCCACTTGGATCAAAACGGTCACACTGGTCTGAACCTAGAAAACTCAATATTCCAAAGTCAATAGAACCCTCTACTTTCGATATATCTTCAAAGGATTCGCGTAGGACCTGCATACCTGAATATTACTCTCTTTGCTGCCTCATCACTTACAAAGCAGCATAAATTATCGTCTCTTATTAATAGGACTGCACCAGCATTGAACTTCGAGATGGTAACGTGAGAAAACAGCCCTATAACTCCTTATCATTGACATATTTTTGACAATATACAGCACCACGGACATCCACTACCCATTTGTGATGTGCATAGTAAACTGAAAAACCCCGGTTCCGTCAGTGTAAAGAACTCCAGTTCCGCATCAATGAGCAAACACAAATAAACTCAACAGTGCACGAATTAGCAAACTTTTCTTCCATCTCAAAGAAACGCTTTGCTATATGTACCTGCCAACGACACACTCTCACTCTGGATCTGGCGCTCCCACTGCGATACTTTCAGGCCCTCTTTTTGTCCCAATACAACACTCTAATCAACTAACTCCAGCATTAACACTTCTCCCCCATAAATACTTAGTGAATACTAAAATCTTCTTTAGTTTTCATTCATTTAATTGCAGATCGTTAGGCAAGAGAAATACGCTTGACTCGGCACATAGATTGGGTCCCTACCAGATGGAGGAAGTTCTGCATCCGGCAGCGGTGCAGGCGGAGCGCCATGTTGAAGACATGAACAACATACCCACATTCATATGGCATTGCATCCTTTAATTTTTCCAAACATGGCAACATTAGCAATCAACGATTGGCGGCTCACTATTAAGTTATATCGTTTAATTTATACATGTGAACTATTTTCAATGAGCATTTTTTCATTTGCTCCAGAATTTTGGGTACATTTTCTTATAGTACCTCTCATTCTTTTTTATATTACATATATACACTCCGAAGTTCGGGATAGTATTTTGAATATACCAGCAATATATGTAAAAGTAGTGGCGGCTGCTGTAGAGCATTACGCAGAGCCTGAGTTCAAGAAGAAGTATTGCATACATATTTTGGTGCCTTTTCAAGTATAAAATCCACTGAGAAACGGAAGAAAACGGCATCCCTACGATTTCAACTTATGCCAAGCGTTTCGTAAACAAGAAATTTTGAACAAAAAACTGTTTTCCCACAAACATGTTTAAATGGAAGCATTACAAATATGGAAAAATAGCAATCCACAAGGCTTTATTGGCAGTAGGTTCTTTTTAAAGCACATTTAACAAAAAAATAAGCTTCTAGTTTCGAAGCTAGCACAAAATAAAATTTTTTTATTTGTTGTTTACAAAAAAAATATTGTCTAGTATACAAGCCAAAATTGTTAAATATATATCGCTTTCATTCATTTCTTCATAGAGTTGGTGCTTCTTTTATAGGAAAATTCATACGGCTTATGAACAGATTCATACCATGTAAATGCACCATTAAAAAGCCGCCTGGTAAAATTAAGTTCTCGAAACTTCTAGTGGATTATATCATGGAAAACATCCATCCATTACAACATCAGCCCCCTTTTCTGCCCCTTCACATGACTTATAAATTTGCAATAGATTTCAATTTTGCATTGAACACGTCATACATATCTCAGAGTAGTAGTCAACCATTAGCATCTGCAATGCCTCGTAGCGGTCATGACTCACCGGCATTGATACTAGCAAGGATTCCAAATCGTTTTCTACCTCAACATGATTATCAAAGGTTAATACCAGACGAACGTTTTACATACCTAAACGAGTGTGGCATGCCATTTGATCCTGGCCGCGCAAAGCATAGGGTACCAGGTTATGGTCATCACGAGGTGGACTACTCAACCACAGTAATTTTGCACAAATCTCCTCTACTTTCGATATATCTTCAAAGGATTCGCGTAGGACCTGCATACCTGAATATTACTCCCTTTGCTGCCTCATCACTTACAAAGCAGCATCAATTATCGTCTCTTATTAATAGGACTGCACCAGCATTGAACTTCGAGATGGTAACGTGAGAAAACAGCGCTATAACTCCTTATCATTGACATATTTTTGACAATATACAGCATCGCGGACATCCACTACCCATTTGTGATGTGCATAGTAAACGGAAAACCCCCGGTTCCGTCCAAGAATGATAGAATACAAGATTGCGCCGTCCTGGGCGTTGACATTTGTGTACCACAAGTAAACAAAGAATAGAGCGAAAAGAAGAACGAGTTGAAACTGCCAAAGCGGTTCACTTTACTGCGAAAACCGTGTTTTAATTTTGCTGAATGCGAAAATATTGCATTTTTCTCCTAATCTATTAGAGAACAGTGAACATTTTAGTGCACTCCATTGCTTTGCAATTGAGCCTGCTTCACCAAACGTTTTAGTGCACTTTATTGCTTTGCAATTAAGGTTGCTGCAGAAAACTGCAGCAGCATCTCTGCGGGATTTATTAGTTAACTTGATAATGGAGGCTGCGTGGAGCAAAAACAAAATCATTGTGAGGAAATGCTGTTAATATAATAATAGAGAAACATTTCGGTAGCGGCTTTGCCGTGCCCTATGTACACAAAATGCAGCGATTCGTCCCAGCGCTACACTTGCATCTACGCTTCTTGCATCTTGGCGGCTGTCACACTTTAACACACAGCACTTCATTGTATTAGTTTTTACGCAGTCTTTAACTCAAAAATCGTTAACAAATTGCAAATTAACACAATATAAACTGATTTTCACTTATAATTCAAATTTCTCTTTTGCTGATTTGTAAACAAAGGTTTATTTACAAGTTACCACAACAGTCAAAATCGGCAAAACCAAAGTAGCGGTACCACTGACGGCGCCACCTTTGCTCGCTGCACCGTGGGTTCCGTCAGTGTAAAGAACTCCAGTTCCGCATCAATGAGCAAACACAAATAAACTCAACAGTGCACGAATTAGCAAACTTTTCTTCCATCTCAAAGAAACGCTTTGCTATATGTACCAGCCAACGACACACTCTCACTCTGGATCTGGCGCTCCCACTGCGATACTTTCAGGCCCTCTTTTTGTCCCAATACAACACTCTAATCAACTAACTCCAGCATTAACACTTCTCCCCCATAAATACTTAGTGAATACTAAAATCTTCTTTAGTTTTCATTCATTTAATTGCAGATCGTTAGGCAAGAGAAATACGCTTGACTCGGCACATAGATTGGGTCCCTACCAGATGGAGGAAGTTCTGCATCCGGCAGCGGTGCAGGCGGAGCGCCATGTTGAAGACATGAACAACATACCCACATTCATATGGCATTGCATCCTTTAATTTTTCCAAACATGGCAACATTAGCAATCAACGATTGGCGGCTCAAGGCTCTGTTATGCATACTTGGCATTGCATGCACTGCTATACCATTTTTACGTAGAAATCAAAAACAGACTTCTACGTATGTAGTGCTGTGCGTTCGATAACCGATTACACGCGCGGCTCATTTAACAGATTTCTTATGTGACAGCTCTCAAGCCATGCCAAGTATGCATAACGGAGCCTTCAGTTACTAACCACCGAAGCAAGGCTGAGCCACTCGCTCATCAGCCGCCAAAGCAAACGCGTCACATACACAACCCTCGTTTAATAAATTTAATACAGTGAACTGCGACTATTATTGTAAATAAACTTATGATACATACTGAAAGTATACCAAGCAGAAACTCGGTGTCTCATTAATACCCGAAACCTAAACAATAACGGAGAAACATTTACTTTTTCCGAATAAAGAAGAAGAAAATTTCGGGACCAAATCAATTTTTTAAAACCTTTGAATACGCCGCTGCAATTGCATACGTTTTTTTTTCACTGGTGCATAACTACATATCGCTCATTTACTTCAATAGTGTCATAATCCAAAAATTACAAATTTATTGTTGATTATTGAGTTAAATATGCAGAAACTACCGCTGCTTCTTCTTCTATGTTGTGTAAAAATGTTATAGATGTATTGATTACGAGTAGCCCACTAGAACAAAATATGTATTCATTTTTATCATCGGAATGTATGTATGTAAATTCAAAACTTTAAAGGCGTTTTCTCGAGTTTGGTTTTTTGAGTTGTGACACTGTTGAAGTAAATGAGCGATATGTTACCGGCCAATCCCGACTTTACGGCTAAACTAGTTTTGCCTAGGCCAAACTAGTTCTACCAACATGCGATAGGATATACCGATTTAGCGCAGGATAAACTGGTCTTTCCGAAGCCGGTTTGCACAAACCAGTTAAGTCTAGGCTGAACTAGATGATCCTGATATTAATGTACTTTCCAGTTTAAACTATGTGGCCTATGTTGATTGTGGGTGCAGAGATGAGCTGTGTTAAATATGCCTTACCTCGGGTGAGGCCAATAATTGAAGCATGTTCGCGAATAACGTTGTAAACGACAAATTTCAAATAGTTGAGGAAACGAAAAAAATAGTTAACATGTGGTAGATTGCATTTTTTATTAATTGTTTTTTATATTTAAGTGAAAAACAACATTTCTCACCTTATTCTCTAAAAAAAAATATATATAAACTCAAAACACAACTACAAATACGTTCATAAGATTTTCAAAATGGAAAAACGTTTTATATCCAAAATAAAATGGATGTTATCACGTTCTTCCACTACGCATAACTTATAGTGCAATGGCGTTTAAAACGTTTTTCCATAAACATTTTGCGAAGATAAAGAAAGTTTAAATATTTTCAAAAAGAATGAAGTTTTATTTCAACAAAAAAGTTAACAAAGCGATTAGTTTTTTCTTTTTAACCAACAAGACGTAACTTTTTTCTCTTCTTACAAATATACAT